GATGAAATTCATAAGGAAATTCGCTTGATTAAAGAGTTTTCATATTCTTGCTTCTACACAACGAATTTAGTTATAATACGCATCGAATATTAAGTGTTGTAGTAAGTAGAAATAGTCACTATACTTCTTGCTATTAAGAATTATCATTAAAATCATTTTGTATAAATTTGAATAAAATTTTCTGATAATTAAGGGTTAATGGCGTTTTTTATTTTAACTGGGAAAAAAAATAAATTAATTTGCGCTGGAGTTTCTTTTGCAAATCTTACCGTTTAAGGAATTTAAAGTATTTTCTTTTTTTATAAAAAATCCCTGCATACACACATGAGTATACAATTTCTTGTGGCCTACTGGCAAAAACTCTATTATATAACCGATCGATTATTTTTATTTATTTTATTTTCCACAAAAATGAAGAAAGTATGGGCTGAGCTTATTTCAGACCCTATTATCTTTAACGAAAAAACTCAACAAGTCATTGAACATACTAACTTACTTGTGATCAAAGACGAGCTCTCAGTGACATTGCGTCTAAAACTTCAAAGCCATGCTCCCCATTGAGCTGTTGTATTTCACAAAGGTAGAACTAGCTATTTCTCTTAGAATCTTGTTTACTTGTTCTCAAATAAAATGCACTTATTTGTATAGGTACCAAATGGTTAATCCGTACACTTAGGCTTATGTTGATATCAGATAAATCCTCATTGCACGCTCGTTTCTCTGGAAAATTAAAGAATAATTTAGGAATCGGAGATCTCGGCGACAGACTTTTGTTAGATAGATGGTATCATATAGCTTATACGCTTTCTGATCTGAAAAAGAGATTAGACATCTACATAGACGGTGAATGGGACGGATTCTATAGTATTCAAGATGTTAAACTGGAAAAAGTGATTTTTAATGACGGACCACTCTATATCGAACGTGCATTAAGCCATTATAGTTTTTATTGGCAAAATTAGGTAGGACTTATTATGGTAATAAGGTTAAAAAATATAAAAAAATATTAAATGACCAATTTTTATCAAATAGCAATGTTCACTATTTCAATTGGCGATTATGTGCTCAAGAAGTGAGGAAAGATTTTTTTGTAAGATACTTTTGAATTTCATTACATCATGAACTTTTAAAGCTTCTCCCACTGACGACTTTTATTTAAATTATGGATATCAGGACAGATTGATTTTATTTGGCTCGAAGGTTGCCCTTGTTCATGTATCTACTGATAAATATTTGTCTACTAATGGAATCAAATATGACTTGGGCCCCGAAAATAAGCAATATATGGTATATATCATATTTTTGTTTTTTTTTTCTTATTATTTATATTAAAAAAGATTAATAATGCAAAATTATCTATTAAACTACAAAGGAAGTTGGTAATAAACGGAAAATTGATTTGAAAAATGATATTTGGACTGTTATTGGACCCTATGGTAAAAGTGTAAATGCGAGAAGCTCTGTGCCTTTTAATACAATTGTTGGGTTTAATCATAATGCGACAGGAGGAAATTTGCATTCTTATGATATGTGTGATGAGAAAATTACACCGATTTCGAAGCAGCAGCAAGGTAATTTTTTGTGTTTCCTATGTAATCTTGTTTTATAAGTATATTGTAAGAACTTACATTATATAATATTTAGTGACCGCCAATCCTGGTGGAAATCGTGATGATGATTTTCTTATTACACGTTATAATGCAAAGGCTTCTAAAGATCACCCAGGGTTTTTAAAGAATGGTGATATAATCTGCCTTTTTCACATTACAACCGGTAAGCCAGCACTCTATAGTCATTCTGTATTATTTGGTGATAGAACTCAAGAAGTCTCATGTCATGGAAATGAAAATGATGAAAATAATAAAGTAACTTAAGTTTAATTTAGCAAATGCAATTTCTAGTTAAAACACTACTAAATGAGATTAATATAATTTTTTTTAGTGGCGTATTGAATTAATTGATTTATATAAAATGGGATAAGTCATTTCTCAATACTCTTATTTTTTTTTAAAAAAATTATTTTAACGCATTTGGCATATTATGATATACTAATGATCCATCCAGACTTCCAAAATTCACTAAACCACCAATAAATGTGATTATTCAAACAATTATTATAATTGTCATAATAGAATGGCTGGACTGTCCTAAAAATCTATATTTATGCACTGCGCCTTAAATTTATATAAAATATTTCCTGAGAAATTTGATAATTATAACGTGTAAATTTCTGAAAAATTCAAAGTGTGTAACGATGTGCATTGGCTCATGATAAACCTATATATTAATTCAATTCATTGGCATTTCTCGTAAGATTATATTTTACTTTTTAGTAAATTTCTTGTAAAAATCTGCATATATATCAAAATATACTATTTGATCTAATTTTTTGTAAATTGGTGACAAGTATTGACTTTCTTCAATAAAATGTGAAATATTAAAATTAATGAAATTTTTACAAGAATATTATGAATTAAGTTTATAAATTTAACATTGCGCTAAAGCAAAGATTTCAACAAGAATATTGATAAATTGAACTTATATAGCAAAATATTAATGTTATATTGGAGATAGGAAATATTAGGATAAAATTTCAACCTCACTTAGATAGTAGATTTCTGCTAATGTTAATTCAAATGTCGAAGTTGCTGGTGAAGCTGATCCCAATTATAAAATCTATTGATATTTGGAATTAGTAATAATTTAAACGCTTACCATGTCAAGAGTTCAATTGAAAATGTAATAAAATTGAATATTATATTAAATAAAGGTTAAAACAGATTGGACCCTTATAATTTAGTTTGAAATTTGACAATCCCATAAGATAAATAAGAAAGTTCTCTATTTTATAGAGTTAAGATTTTTAATAAACTTGTCTTATTCTTTTAAAATTTGATAT